TTATGCATCTGAGGATCAGAGACAGTGATGTGATCAGAGTCACCACAAAGGTAAGATCATCATTCCTCTAATATCAGCTGAAGTGATCGAATAGAAATATATGCAGTTTTTTTAAGAGTGAGTTAAAAATACTATATAGATGACTTCTCCCCTTATTGTGATTTTTACACTTTAATAAGTTGGTAATAATAATCAAATGTGTCTTTCAGCAAAGTAGAAGGAACAGAGCGGTTAAGGCTTGGTACTGGAAAAGACTGATTAAAATAAATATGTTTTATTTTGTCCATTAATCAGAGAGAAGACAAGGAGTCTGGAACTGCAGGAATCACAGCAGATCAATATCCACAACAGGAAAAAACTGAAAGAGGAAAAATAGAGCATCTGTTTCACAGACTTCATCTTGAAATACAGGCATGATCATAAACTGAGAGCTGCAGATGTTCTTCAGTTAACTGCACATTCATTACAGTCCCATGAGTCTTGTGCTGAAGAAGAGCTGATTCAGACTTTCATACAGAAACTACTGATGATGAACTAAAGAGCAAGATACATTCAAACTGAAGAGATCAGTGAACAGGATAACACACAACAAAGAGACAGTGACTCACCTGAAGATGAGAGTGATATTTTTTATGAAATGTATTTTTCTAATAAAAGCACCAGTCAGTCTGATCGAATCCACCCGATGGATGTTCAGATGGCCGTGTTTCATTGTGCTGATGGTTTCCTGAAGCAGCTGATAGTGACTGAACTGTCTCAGTGTCAGTATGCTCTACCTCTGCTGGTTCCTGATCCATTCACTCAACAGATTGAGTTTCCTCTCTGGACATTCAGACAAATCAGCAAGAGCTGGAAGATGAGAAACATCAACAATGAAATCATCAGTCTAACCCAGCCGATCTACAGAGCACAAACTCCAATGGTGTGCTTCTTCAGGTTTGGCTCTGTGTCTTCATCCAAGTCTCATCTGATGAACAATCTGATCAATGAGAGACACCACACGTTCTTCCACAGGAACTGCCCAGGCAGCAGCAGAACCAGAGTCCTGATGGACGGAGGGGTGGAGATCGCCTGGTTCTGCCCTTCTGGATCATATGATGATAAATTCACTGAGTGTGTAGCGTTCTGTAGTCTACATGGTGATGCAGGAGACCATGAGAAACAGCTGCAGATCCTCACTGAAATGGCCTCAGTCAATGTTGTTCTTCTACCACAACTTCAGAGGTATGACAGAAATGCAGCAAATATCCAAAACCTGTACAAGAACAGAAAGCCACTCATTTGTCTCCTTACTGAGGATGAATCTGCTGTAACTGAGATGAGGAAAGGGAAATTCAAGATCGGTCTGAAAGACAGAAATCAGTCAGATTTCTCTAAAGAACTCAGAAGAGCTATAAATGATTGTCTCTCAGAATCATCTTCCACTTTCAGACTTGAAGATGTGTCCAAACACTCAGACATCAGAGTAGATGAGGAAGATGATGATGAAGACTGCAGGAGAGGAAGAGAAGCAGCACAGCAGATGATGAGTTTACTGCAGAAGAAAGATCTGACAGAAATCAAAGAATCATTTCTGCCTCATCAGGGGAAACTGTGGCATCAGTGGAGTCAGAGGAACAAAAAACTACATCGACCTCCAGCAGATGAGATAGAAACTGACATCAGTAGAAAACACACAGAAATTGAGAAACTCCGTCAACAGCAGCATAAATCAGACATCAGTGAGTTTATGAAGGTCTTTATTAAAGTAATTAACTCAGATGCTGCAAATGAGAAGATGTTTTTCACCAAATGGCTCAGAATCCTTCTGGATGAATATACATCAGCTGATCTGTCTGCTCTACATCACACATATGATGAAAAGTGGTCAAGAGTTGAAAGACTGAAGGAGAAACACGATAAACCTGAACAACTCAAAGCTGCACAGACTGAATTTGAGAGAATATCTGAGGAACTTCAAGCTGCAAACTTTGGTTTGGAGCACATCATGAGGGAGATCGGTCAAATCTATGAATCTGTGAAGAAGAACAAGAAATACCTGCAGTCTGACTTTTCTTCTCTCCCGAGTCTTGCAGCAGAGATGATGATCTCTGGATCTCCACTGGAGCTGATGGATGGGGATGCTGCTCATGTTCCTCTGGTCTGGATCTCTGCTGTTCTAGATCAACTCATCCAGAAACTGGGAGACCAGACCAGAGTCTTTGTGCTGTCAGTTTTAGGGATCCAGAGCTCTGGGAAATCCACCATGCTGAACGCCATGTTTGGACTGCAGTTTGCCGTCAGTGCTGGCAGAACAACTAGAGGAGCTTTCATGCAGCTGGTCAGAGTCTCAGACGAGATGAAAACACAGATGAGGTTTAACTACATTCTGGTTGTTGAAACTGAGGGTCTTCATGCTCCAGAACTGACTGGAAGATCAATAAGACATCATGACAATGAACTGGCCACATTTGTTGTAGGTCTGGGAAATCTGACACTGATCAACATCTTTGGAGAAAACCCATCTGAGATGCAGGAGATTCTTCAGATTGTTGTTCAGGCCTTTCTGAGGATGAAGAAGGTCAGACTGAATCCCAGCTGTGTGTTTGTGCATCAGAATGTTTGGAATGACACAGCTGGAGAGAGAAACATGAAGGCAAGGAGACGACTGCTGGAGAAACTGGATGAGATGACTAAACTCGCTGCTAAAGATGAAGTCTGTGATGCTGAATGTTTCAGTGATGTGATTAGATTTGATGTTCAGAAAGATGTGAAGTATATTCCTTAGCTCTGGGAGGGCAGCCCACCGATGGCTCCACCAAACCCAAACTACTGTGAGAATATTCAAGAACTGAAGAAAACTATTATGTCTCGTGCCTCGAAATCACATGGAATGAGTCTGATAAGCTTCAAATATCGTATTAATGATCTCTGGGAGGCTTTACTGAAGGAACGATTCGTCTTCAGCTTCAGAAATTCCTTGAGATTTCAGCCTACAGGAAACTATAGACTGAATACAGCAAATGGTCCTGGAGTCTTCGCAGTGCCATGATGGAAACTGAGAACAAACTACACAACAAAATAGAAAATGAAGCGATTAATGAGATTAAAGAAACTGATCTTCGAAGAGAAATGAAGAAGACAAGTGAAGAAGTGAAAACATCAATGTCTGAATTATTTGAGAGAGAGAGAGAGAGAGAGAGACAGAGATAAATATATACTGATTCAGTGAAAAGCATAATTTGAAATCAAAATCAAAGATGTTCAGGAAAACATTGTGAGAGAAACAAAGAGGAAATTAAATGAAGTTCTTCAGCAGCGAGACCTGAAGAAAAGGATCGATGCTCAGAGGACACATCATGAAAACACTCTCTGTGAAAAGAGCAAAGAACTCGTCTTAAAACTCAGAGACAAAGCAAACAATGAAGAAACAGTTTTCAAACAGAGTTTGATGAGTTTTGGAAACAGTGGATAAAGATGATCATCAGAGACACTCCTGCAGTCAGAGACATTGATGTAATGAGAGATGTGAGAGAGATACTCAGTGACAGCTATGAAAGTCTTCCTGTAGATCACTGGAGGGAGAGCAGGGGTATTTTCACTGTGCAGAGTTATTCAGATTATGTCAAACTAAAGAAACCCAGTGGAATTACAGGAGCTTTTACAAAGGTCTACAGATCAGATAAAGAGGTGTTTCATGACATTCTCTCTAAAGAGGATGAAGCCCAAATAAGATCATTAGTCACAGATGTTGCTGTGCAGACAGACAATGATTCAGTCATTTAACATTTCAAAGATGGGCTACAACATCATCTGCATTCACCAACTCTGATTACATCAGAGCAAGAGTAACAGAACATGAGGAAGGATCAGTGAATTATGTGTTCAAGAATGAATTCTTCATGCATTTGGTTCTGTCCATCTGTGAGAGAGCAAACAAGATGATCACTGACCAACACAGACTGTTCAGAGACGACAATGGTCCTGTAATATATGTTGAGAAGAAGAGAGAAGAGTATTATAGTGTTTTCCTGAAATACTGTCATGGAGCAACATCAGCTGTTATTTTTGGTGAGATCATCTGTCAGAAACTGAAAGAGCCCATTGAGCAGAGCGTCTACAAGAAGACTGCCAGAGATATAGCAGATGAAATGAGATCAAACTGTGAATCACTGAATGGAAACAGATCAAATCTGGAGAAACACATCCTGAAGACACTGGCGGAAGAGGAGGATTTTAACAAATACATGAACTACATTGATAAAACTCTTGAAGTGATCTCTGGGATTATCAGAAATGTTGTCAGTCGGTACATCACTGATAAGTTCAGTGTCAGTGTTTTACCCAAGATGGAGGAGAACATTAAACTCCTGCAGCAGAAGATCATGAAAGCAGCTCATGAATCTACTGAACATGTTCAAGAGAACAGAGGAGATGCTGGTTTGTGGTTGAAGAGTTTCACACAGCAGCTCTCAGATGAGCTGATCTTCTCTGAAAAAGACCTCAGTGGAGTCAATCATGATTATGTTGAGGATTTCAAACTGTTAGAAGATGTGATAAAGAGAGAACTTCCTGCTATAATGTATGACATCAGCAGGAGATTCAACAGAAAGACATTTGATGAAAAACTGGACTATGAAGACAGAACAGATGAGCTTCTGATTGATCACTTCTGTCAGTGCTGTTGGATTCAGTGTCTGTTCCAGAGAGATCTGGAGAAATACTACATGAAAACATTTGATGGCTATGGTGAGATCCCAGACAACTGGAGAAGATACACAAAACAGGATGCTATTGAGAGTTTGAATACATACATGTAATTGAAGAAATGAAATAAGCTTGATTCACAGTTAAAATTATGTTTCTGTTCCTCACTTAACCCCACATAATATATCAGAGAGAGGTTCTGTTGAAGTGTTTGTTTCAAAAGACTGTAAATGTCCTTCATACCAGTATCTGTAACTTTATGACAATATATGTATGAACAAAATGTCTATTGTCTGACAATATCAAATAAGATCATTAGTCACAGATGTTGCTCAGCAGACAGACACAATGATTCAGTCATTTAACATTTCAAAGATGGGCTACAACATCATCTGCATTCACCAACTCTGATTACATCAGAGCAAGAGTAACAGAACATGAGGAAGGATCAGTGAATTATGTGTTCAAGAATGAATTCTTCATGCATTTGGTTCTGTCCATCTGTGAGAGAGCAAACAAGATGATCACTGACCAACACAGACTGTTCAGAGACGACAATGGTCCTGTAATATATGTTGAGAAGAAGAGAGAAGAGTATTATAGTGTTTTCCTGAAATACTGTCATGGAGCAACATCAGCTGTTATTTTTGGTGAGATCATCTGTCAGAAACTGAAAGAGCCCATTGAGCAGAGCGTCTACAAGAAGACTGCCAGAGATATAGCAGATGAAATGAGATCAAACTGTGAATCACTGAATGGAAACAGATCAAATCTGGAGAAACACATCCTGAAGACACTGGCAGAAGAGGAGGATTTCGACAAATACATGAACTACATTAACACTCCCAGAGATCACTACAAGAGTTTCATCAGAGATGAAGTCAGTCGGTACATCACTGATCAGTTCAGTGTCAGTGTTTTACCCAAGATGAAGAGGGACATTGAACTCCTGCAGATGAAGATCATGGAAGCAGCTCATGAATCTACTGAACATGTTCAAGAGAACAGAGGAGATGCTGGTTTGTGGTTGAAGAGTTTCACACAGCAGCTCTCAGATGAGCTGATCTTCTCTGAAAAAGACCTCAGTGGAGTCAATCATGATTATGTTGAGGATTTCAAACTGTTAGAAGATGTGATAAAGAGAGAACTTCCTGCTATAATGTATGACATCAGCAGGAGATTCAACAGAAAGACATTTGATGAAAAACTGGACTATGAAGACAGAACAGATGAGCTTCTGATTGATCACTTCTGTCAGTGCTGTTGGATTCAGTGTCTGTTCCAGAGAGATCTGGAGAAATACTACATGAAAACATTTGATGGCTATGGTGAGATCCCAGACAACTGGAGAAGATACACAAAACAGGATGCTATTGAGAGTTTGAATACATACATGTAATTGAAGAAATGAAATAAGCTTGATTCACAGTTAAAATTATGTTTCTGTTCCTCACTTAACCCCACATAATATATCAGAGAGAGGTTCTGTTGAAGTGTTTGTTTCAAAAGACTGTAAATGTCCTTCATACCAGTATCTGTAACTTTATGACAATATATGTATGAACAAAATGTCTATTGTCTGACAATATACAGTAGATGTCTTTTTCATTACATTGTAACAGTTTCACAGAAACTTATTGCATAACCTTGTGGCAGCAATGAAAAATTTAGTGCTTTGCATTTGAAAAAATCACCTTGACAAATGTGCAGCATGTTTGCAAGAACTACAGATTTTTGAACTTCTGCATGTATCTGATGGCATTAGAAATGACATTTGGTATGTTTTGTGTACACTGTTGAAGAAAATATGCAATTGTCCTGTTGCAAGTATGCCTTTTTCTTTAATGCAATACTTTTGTATTATAACCGAACACGTTATTGTATTTGTTTTGTTAAGAAAGTGGTTTATTAAGACACACCACACATGTTATTGTTCTAAGCCTTTATTGATCAAATGTTTATAACATATATTAGCAAGAGTATAGCTAGAGATGAAACATGTATTAGCAAGAGCTTTGAAGAAAAGGGATGTTACCATTGAATGCTGAAGCTGTCAAATAAGAAGATCACGGAGGAGAAAAATTAGAAAATGGAAGGCTTTTTATGAGAAACTTCTATAGGGCATTTCCAGACCTTTCACAAGACATTGGAATGCTTCTCAGCAACCAAGCTTGCAAATTATATGCTTGTGTTTTTATTTCTGTTTTCATATTAGTATTTTGTGTGTAAAGTGTTTGACCTGTAGACAATAAAACTATATTATAACTACGAAACTCGCCTGCCAAAAGACTCAGATTTCTGAACTAGAGCAGAACAGACCACGCAGAAGTCTTCTGTGATCTATTTTGTAAGTATAAACTCAGATGCTTATGAGATAGGACAGATTTGACTTACTTTACCTAACCTGAGAATAAATAAAATAAGGTAGAAGGTGTAGGAAATCAAGCACCATAAAACATGTTTTTATTGTTTTTATTACTAACGGGAAATGTTCTTCATATTTCACTGTGATATTTATTGATGGGAGAATTAAAGAAGCTTTTCAAAACTCTGAATCTAATGATTCACTGTTAAAGTACTCATAATAGGCTGAGGGCACCTGCTGGTCAAAGCATTGCAAATACAATGAAAATGCATTCCAAACGTGTAGCTGTGTTTTCAGTGTGTTGTCGTGCTGCTGTTCGCCGGAAGTAGGCGCCAGATCTGCGCTCAGACTCTCACTGATGATGCTTGATCTTCCGCTTCCGCTACAACTGATAACAGAACAATAACAAACCCAGCGAAACTCGACAACAACTCCGTCAGACACCAGCATCATGTCTAGAAACGCTTTTCCAGGTGTGTACACATCAGTAAATCACTCATTAGTTACGCTATGCGTGTGTTTGTGTGTCCGCTTGGTGTTTGTTTATGTCTAAACAGCTAAACTTTATTAGCAGCCTGTTTATGAACTTGTGTCCTTGATAACTAGGGTTGCCAACCGTTCCAAACGACCGCGTTTCGACTTCAGTAAATCAGATTGAGCGAATGCAAACAACGTGATTCCAACATCCAGCCACGCAAGAAAACTTGCTTTTTACCTGAGGGAAGACGTATTTCTCTAATGTATACCTAGATAAAACAATTTACATTTAAGTAACTTCCAGCGTATTCTTAACCTTGAATATCGTTATTAAAGGGGTCATATGATGCGATTGAAATTTTTCCTTTCTCTTTGGAGTGTTACAAGCTCTTGGTGCATAAAGAAGATCTGTAAAGTTGCAAAGACTAAAGTCTCAAATCCAAAGAGATATTCTTTATAAAAGTTAAGAGTCAGCCACACCTACCTAAAACGCCCCGTTCTAACACGCCCCCACATGTCTACCTCACTATGTGGGAAGCGAGTTTTTTTGGGCAGTGTAGAGTAGGGCTTGTTGTTTGTCATTTCTCCGATCACAAATGCAGACAGGGTTTTATGTTTACGCAGCGCGATACGCAACGCAACATGTAAAAAGACAGTATAAGTCATTATAATCAGTAATTATGTCCCCACTGGATGCAGCTCATCAAGCCTGCATTTATTTGATCAAAAATACAGGAAAAAAAAGGTAATTTTGTGAAATAGCCTATTATTGCAATTTAATAAAACAGTTTTCTATTTTAATATACTTTAAAATATAATTTATTCCTGTGAAGCAAAGCTGAATTTTCAGCATTATTACTCCAGTCTTCCTTCAGAAATCAATCTAATATGCTGATTTATAATCAATGTTGGAAACATTTTTGCTGCTTCATATTTTTTGGGACCTGTGATACTTTTTTCAGGATTCATTGATAAATAAAAAGTAAAAAAAAAAAAAAAACAGTGTTTATTCAAAATAGTAAAAAAATTTGTGTTACAATATACTATTCAAAAGTTTGGGGTCAGTAAATTTTTTTAAAGAAATTAATACTTTTATCCAGCAAGGATGTGTTAAGAAACTTTTAGAATACTTTTATTCAGCAAGGATGTGTTAAATGCATAAAAAGTGATATTGTTAGAGAATATTTCTATTTTTAATAAATTCTGTTCTTTTTAACTTTTTATTTTGTTTATGGAACACAGGTTCCAAAAAAATATTAAGCAGCACAACAGTTTCAACACTGATAATAAATCAGAATAAGAATGATTTATAAAAGGATCATGTGACACCGAGGACTGGAGTAATGATGCTGAAAATTCAGTGCTGCTGCATCACAGAAATAAATTATATTTTAAAGTATAATAATTAAGATAGGAAACCAATACTAGAAATTGCAATAATATTTAACAATATTACTGTTTTTTTCT